TCCTCAATTCACGGTTTGTTCCCTCTACCTTCCTAGAGGGGACTTAGTAACATTTGAGGAGTTATTTGTAGCTTTCAATCAACTTCCACAACCCATCATTATTCTTGGTGATTTTAACGCCCACAACTCATTATGGGGTGGGGATAAAACAAATAATTTAGGAAAGTCCGTCGAATTAATTATAGATAGATGTAACTTAAACTTATTAAATAATGGACCTCCAACACATTTTTGTTCTAGGTCCGGCAAAACTTCAGTAATAGATCTTAGTCTTGCAAGCCCAACTCTCCATCCCATTTTGAAATGGGAAAGTCTAAAAGACTCACATGGTTCTGATCATTTTCCGATTATCGTTCATACCTTTTTAAAGAAGAATCGTTATCAGGGACCTGGCACTTGGCAAATTAAAAAGGCTGATTGGTCTCTCTTTCAACACAGCATAAGCCTAAATGATTTAGATATAGATAATTCTGAAATTGACTCCTTAATTGATGACCTTAACAATAAATTTTTGGAAGGAGCAAGAGTAGCGGTCCCCCGGAATAAACAAAAAAGAATAAAGCAGGTCACAGTTCTCTGGTGGAATGAAGACTGTTGGCAAGCGACCAAAAATAGAAAAAAAATGTCTTAGTGTTTTCCTAAGACAGCCTTCCAGTGAAAATTTAGAAAATTATAATGCGGCAAAAAAGCATGCTCGACATATCATTAGAATGAGTAAAAAAATTCCTGGAGGAAGTTTTTGGAACTTACTAATTCTAATACCCCTATTTCTGTTTATTGGGACACGATAAAAAAAATTAAAGGACGCGGTTACAGCCAACTCACTACCTCCCTTAAAGATGATAACGATGGCTTCCTAAGTGAATCTAAAGAAATTGCTGATGCTTTTGCCCAACATCTTCACAAAATTTCGGCTACTTCAAACTATTCCACTATATTCAAAGAAATAAAGGCATGGCATGAAACTATCCCCTTTGTGATGCATCATGCAACCAAACCGATCCTTTGAACAAACCTTTCTCTAAAGTCGAATTCATTACAGCACTAAATTCTCGCAAAGATACTTCGCCGGGACCTGATAACATTTGCATTTCCTTCATCAAAAATCTGTCAAACAGCGATAAACAAACCGTGCTAAAAGCAATAAACAGAATTTTTGTCTCTGGTATTTTTCCTAAAATCTGGTCTACAGCTATCGCTATTCCCGTTTTTAAAAAAGGTAAACCTGCACAAGAGGGGACCAGTTATCGTTTAATATCTCTTACATGTTCCATGTGTAAGTTGGTAGAAAAAATTATTTCTAACAGGGTTCATTGGTTTTTGCGCTTTGCATATGGGTGAAAAAGAATACCCCGGCTCTTGGGGGATGTGGATGTTCACAGCCCATGCATATCCTTTTGGAGGAGCCAAAACAACATTAGTTCAGCTTCAGCGATAACATCACGCTGTTTATATAGTGCTCGTCCCTCTGCAATGCGGCTGGCCCTCCGGGCCTCCTCCTCTCTGGGGCCGTGGCCCCTCCGGTTCGCGCAGTGGGGGGGGGCTGCATTGGTTGATGCTTTAAGGCAGCTATGACCCTTAGTGGTTTTATGCCTTTAAAAAAAAAAAATAATAATAACATCCATATGTAGTATATTGTATGTTTTGTAGCCTTTGCTATTGTATCAATGCTGTTAAAAATGCACATTTTATTAGTTGACCAAAAGTTCTTTCCCGTTGAAAGTTCAAACAAAACTTCATAAGATTTGTTAAAATTATTTATATGGAGATTCTATTTAGTATTAGTACAAGAAATCATATTCTGCCCTTTTTGTAAGTTATAGTTATATTTAATACAATTTTACTGTAATCTGATAGAAAAATTGTCAGTGTAAATTATATTTCATATATTTAAGTTTTATACATTTCTTATGTTTTTCTTTTCTAGGTGGTGTTGTGCCGTTTTTGTATCTTTTTCCTACATTTCCACAAAGTGCTATTTAAACAGTGTGTTAATTTTTTCGCGAGTGTTGAACAGTGTGAAGTTAGCTGGTTCATCGAGCTGTTTTATGGCGAGGACTGTGGCCTTCAAAGAGTAAATTTCATTTATAAAACATCTATTTATGTAAGTTGTCTACTATTCTCTCATTTAAACTTAATTTTTTCTTTTTCCAGGAGGGATTTACAAATGGTAAATCAACTCTCTCTGCTGGCAGTCAGGTTAGTGAGCATGTTAGAATTAATATTTTATTATTGCCCCAGCAGCCACTATAATCCTCTTGGTTTAATACTATCTGCAAATTTTAATACAGGTAGTGTTCCAAAAATAAAACGTTTATCTATTACAGTACCTGCTTAGAAGGGTTAGAACTTACAAAAGTTGGTGTTTTCCCCTACTAGGTAAAGTTTTAATTGTTTGTAGTGGACTTTATTTAATACAAACGGTTTCTTGGCCTCCACTGTCGAAATTTGTAGGTCACTTTAGGTCACTGTTACAATTAATACAATTTTTTGTATGATCTCACAAATAACTTTTGTGTGTTAATTATATTTAATTTATTGTATGCTTTATACATTTCAGTTTTCTTTTTTCAAGGGTGTTGTTCCATTTTTATATCATTGTTTTACATTTTCACAAAGTGCTATTTACACAGTGCGTTAAGTTGTTTCGCGAGTGTTGAACAGTGTGTAGTTAGCTGGTTCATCGTAGCTGTTTTAAAGCGAGGATTGTTGCCTTCAGAGGGTAAATTTCATTTATACAACATCTATTTATGTACCTTGTCTGTTTTAAACTAAATTTTTTCTTTTCACAGGAGGGATGTACAAATGGTAAATCAACTCTCTCTGCTGGCAGTCAGGTTAGTGAGCATGTTAGTATTAATATTTTATTATTGGCAAATAAGATAATATATTCCTCTTGGTTTAATGCTATCTGCCTGTAACAATGAAATACAAATTTTAATACAGGTAGTGTTCCAAAAACATTATCTACTATCTACAGAACTATCTTAAAATGGTTAGAAGTTTCAAAAATGTGTTTTCCCAACTAGATAGTTTTTATTTTTTGCTTATTAAACTTTAATTCATACAAATATCAAGAAAAAATATACAAAAAAGGTCAATTTTGTGCAAAAAAAGTGGGAGAAAATCCATGATACTTAACTAGTTTAACAAAGTTTTTTTACACTTAGGGAACAAATCCTGGAGCCATCAGTATCCGAGATAGTAGAAATAGTCGAATACATCAGTACCCAAACTCGCAACTAACACTTCCGCCGGTAGGTTAAAATTTAAAAACTAGTTAATACACTTACATTTTAGAATTTTTTTTGTATTTTAAATGTTTCACTAGTTTTAAAAAGTTTTTTAAATTTGTGATAAAATTGATGGAGCACTCGGTATCTAAGATGTAGTAGAAATGTCCAAATACATTGGTATTCAAACTCGCAACCAACACCTCCATTGGTAGGTGCAATTTAAAAACCTGTTAATACACTCACTTTTTAGAATATTGTTCATATTTTTCATTTCACCTGTTTTAACATGTTTTTTCATTTTTTTAAAATAGTATTATTGGCGCAATCGGTATTGGGTAGTAGGAAATCTAAATACTGGTTAAAACACCTTCTTTTTCTAATATGTTGTTATTTTACGTGTTCCACTAGTTTTAAAAAGTTTTTTACATTTTGGGTATGATTTCTGAAGTGATTGGTATCTGAGGCCAAGTAGAAATAGTGCGATACATCAGTATTCAAGCTCGCAATTAACACCTCCACCGGACAGTTATAACTTACAAAAATTTGTGTTTTCCCAACTAAAGTTATCATTTTTTTATTGAACTTTATTTGATACAAACTTGTTTCCTTGGCCTCATTTTTCATGAGAAGTTGAGATGGCAGGCACTGTTGATGCCTCCCAGTGTCGAAATTTGTAGGTCACTTTAGGTCACTATCATTTAATACAATTTTTTGTATGATCTTATAAATAACTTTTGTGTGTAAACTACTTTTAATTTATTGTATGCTTTATAAATTTCTGTTTTGTTTGTCCAAGGGTGTTGGAACCCACACCTACTTAGCAATTAAAAAATCTACTTTTTCATATTTTTTATGTATCTTAGATGTTTCACTAGTTTTAAAATTTTTTAAAAAACATTTTGGGTATAATTTCTGGAGTGATCGGTATATGAGATCTAGCAGAAATAGTCGCATACAGTAATCTTAACACACAAGGTTTTGACATTTGCAGTTTTCACTACTCACATATCAAAAAATGAGGACAGTTTTGACATTTGTGGAAAAAACAAACAGTTGTGTAAACTATTTTTTGTTTTGAAATAAAAAATGGAATGGAGGGTCTAATTCTGAAAAACTTTGGCCTGCTTTCAACATACTGTTCCTTCTTTCTTCTCAGTTTGTTTTACTATATTGTGGAAGTTAGGTTGTAAAATGCCTCCTTTTCCAAAACGGAAAAACAGTATCCTGTCCCTTGGTGAAAGAATAAAATTTTTGGACATGTTTCATTTTTTATGCAGGGCCAAATATTTTCCTCAAAACAGCTCGGGTAATTGAGACTCGTTGCTAATTTTGGGGGAAAAAGAAAGATTTGATTATAAATAAAAGGGAACAGAAACTTAAGATCGTAACAGATTTGTTGAAACAATGGCAAGCTAAAAAAAAGTCAGCACATTACTTCATATAGTTTCTGAAATGAGACAGAAGAAACAAATCATTTACTTACAAAATGCAAAGCAACATTCTTTTGTTCAAGTTCTGAGACTTACACCGTATATTTAAATTATACTGTTGTAGCATACTGCAGTATGACCCTGAAATTTGACAAGTAAGCAAAAAGAAGTCCAATTAAAACAATTCACCAATTAACTTCTCCTTCCAAATATTTTTAATGTGAGTTTTAAGAGAATATATGCTCATATGATAATTAGTTTAATGATGATGTGCAAGTAGAGGATACAGACTTTAGCTGTTAATTTATTTCAGTTTAAAAATGAATGAGATATGCTTTGAATGAGATATTTTATTTGTTACACAACACTCATACAAGTTTCAAATACAAACAATGTAAGTGGCAAATTGCGCACAACAATAAATACATGTGAACTAAACAAAATTCTTTGGTATTTAGCAATGTGTTTTAAATGCACAACATACTGGGTACAATTACAAATTAACAGAGATCCAAAAAAGTTGATAAAATAATAACAACAAATAAAACTTTAAGGTTTTAGAAAACAAAATTTTAGCGAATACAACCTATCAATCTAAATTCATTGTGAAGGTACTTATGGTTGGTATATGATCAAAGTCTGGTGTCTTGTAAGAGACCAGGATTCTTGAGCGCCTGCTTCCTCTGTTCTACTGCGTGTAAAAGTTTTCGTCTTGGTCCCATAGGCACTCCTTTTAAAAATTAACAATATTAACTTCATATATTTTGTTTACTGGAAAGTAAACTACCCAATTTTAATAAAACCTGATAGAAGAAACACAACATTCTTGAGAGAATATAAATAAATGGATGGTTAAAACAATAACAGTCAAAATAATTTTGGACAATGTTTCCAAGTGGTCATAGACAAAAGAGATCGTTGGAAGAACGGTAGCCCCAAGGTTCAGAAAGGCCCTAATATGGTACACTGATGAGTCAAAGTTGAACTGGGCATAAGTATAGGGTAAAAAGGGCTGAATTATGCCTAAGAAAAACCTCCTCCAACTATCTTCCAAGCTGAGGCCCATGCACTTCAACTGTGTACACAGTTGATAAATAAAAAAAAATGAAAGATGTGTAAATTTACATTTGGGCAGTCAGGCAGCTATAAAGGCACTAAATGTGAGTGCTTTTAGCTCCAAACTAATGGGAGGGCCTGAATTGTGTAATGCCACTCGGAAAACAAGGTTAACATAAGGTGTGTTCTGGGACATGAAAGTAGAAAAGTGGAGAAGAATAGGTAGCCCAAGAGTGCTTGTGAGGTCCCCTGGGACCAGAACCACAACTAGGCGTTCTGAAGAGTGTACTAAAGTTGGAGCTGAAAGAAAACTTCAAGCACTGGACAAAAGCATGAAAGAAGGTGAAGGTATTCTCTCAACTGGGAAATTAGAGGAAAATATACGCCCCTATACTGGCTAAAATGAATGGGCAAAGTAGAGAGAGAAAATGCCAACTTTCAAGAAAAACCAGAGAAATTGGCACATATACTTTGTGTATGTGAGGCACTAGCTCGGATACTATACAGCCACCATGGTATAGCAAAGAAGCACTGAGGAAATAGCTTAGTTTTTAAGCACACTTTCATGTTATGTCATAAACTCATAATCACAGGTGTTCCACAATAGATCTCCATACAGTGGACAAAAGGTTGTCATTCTTTCTTGAATCTCCACCCTACAATTCAATAAAAAAATTAAATAAAAAGAAAAACTACCTAATTGAATGAGATCTTCATCAGTGAGCATAAGGACTGCTTCTAAATCTACTTGCTGTTCCAGCAACTTAGGTGTGTATTCCTCCACCCCAGCCGACACCAGGAACCTCTCCAATGGTGACCATTGTCCATTTGACACAACATTTTCTTCTGAAAAAATTTCTTTAATAATAAATTTAACTTATAAAGCATAACTTTTTGACACACCGTCACTTGTTGTGATGTCGTCAACGTTCCATGCATGTTGTGGGCCCTGCCGGTTTGCCAGGCTTCCTGCACTTCCTATGCTTGTCTCTGAGCCTACCTCCTCTTCGCCGTCCTTTTCAAATATTACATCGCTTCCAGGTGTTCCACTCAATGTACCAGCTAGATTCGATCTATTTTGAAAAAACAATTATTTTTATGAAAATTTATAAACAATTTGGTTTTACAAATGTTTTGTTACACCTTTGCCTGAAAGCAACACTGCCGAACCCGGGCCTGTCAAAAATAGAAGCTTGCTGGTGAAGATTGTTTATTCCTGTCTGACTTGAGAAGATATCGGATATTTTACCTCTTTTACCTTCAACAATAATAGAAAAAAAAATAGTATTAATAATTAAAGTTTAAATTCACTAATTTCGTGGTCCACTTGACCAATTAATATATTACAATTAATTAAGGTTTTTAGTTGAGATAAAAAGTCAATGGCACGAGCGGGATTCGAACACACGATCTTCGAGTGGATCGAGGTCACGATAGCTCAAGTGGTAGAGCAGCGGCGTATCTAGCCGAAAGATCGTGGGTTCGAATCCCGCTCGTGCCATTAAAGTTTAAGTTTGACCTTAGCGTATTTGAAAATTGTCAATAACAAAATGCAAAACTGCAATATATAAGCAAACTATAATGTAATTTTATCATTTGTCAATCTCAGACTGTAGCAGTCATGGCTATGACTTTCAATATTTTCAAACATAAAAACACGTCACTTTACATAAAACCTGAAATTTTCTCCACTATAACGTAACTTTTTCCAACTTTTGACACCATTTTTACATTGAGAATCGAATTTCCTTTATGATTAGTCCAATTAGTCAAAAGATCCTAACTTTTGAAGAAAGTGAGATAAAACCATGAGGTTTAAGGCATTTTACTCACGTTAGATGTACTGTCACCGAAATTTTCTTTTTAACTCGACGAGCGTGTATTTAATTAGTTAATTTTTGTATTTTGCTGAAATGCTTATATGTCGAATTATAATGCCAGTAGAGGCTAACATAGACATCTAAAATGTATTCTGTATAATTCTCATAAATTAGGCACAATTTAAATTTTTATTGCTTAAAAATTCAAACACATTGTTGGTTATGATAAATTTAAAATAATGTTATTGCTATTGAGAGATTTCTCGGTGTAGACTGTGGGGTGATGGACCAATCATTTCGGTCTGCCTTTCCTCTGGGTGAATTTTGTGAAGTCAAGTTTCTTTTATGAAATAGGTAATAAATTTGGGCTTTGGTCTGTCTGACAGACTCTGCAATGGAGAAATACGTCCAAATATCGCCAATACGTATCTGATTGGCAACACAGGGTGGAAGGCAGACAAAAATGATCAATAACGACCAAATTATTGTTGTTGTTGCCATATTAAATAATATTTAAAACCACTATTGCTTTGTATAAAACAACAGCTAAATGACTTAAGAACCAGACTTATAAACACAAGTTAAAAATACAATCGAGTTTGAGTGTACTCACCATTAATGGGATTCTCATAAGAATTGACATAGATTATCTGAGCATCCTTTTTGTTATGGCCTTTAGTACCGCTTTCGTACTGAAAAAAAATGTTAAAAGATATGTCAAAAACACAGGTTTCGCGAGACTTACTTTGTCGTCATGTCTCAGTTTCTTCTCCAATATCTTTTTCATTCCGGTCACGGGTTTCTTCGACAAAGTGCCTCCTACAATTTCTGTAAAGGTGGGGCCATTGACTGCAACGACGGCTTTTCTCATGGTACTAGTAGAAAATATAATTTTTTTAAAGGGTCCAATTTTGTTGTTTTTGTACTTATTATAAACAATTTTAACCGTACTTATTAGGAATCGTTGGTATCGGCGTGTCTTTTTCTATTCTAGTACCGATTTCCTTTTTGATTCGTTTTTCTTCTTTGTCCCTCTCCTTTTTCATCTTTTCGTCGTACTTTTTTCTCCGTCTCTCGGCATCCTTCAGGGCCTTTTCTTTTTTGGCTTTGACTTCTTTCCTATGACAAAGAAGGGCCGAAATCGGCTCAAAGGATCTTCTAATTGTCATATCGACGACTTACTTGTTATATATAAGCTGTTTCGCCATCGCTTTATCCAAGAAATCTATTACTTCCCGGTTTGTGGCGATCTGGAGCGGCGTGTGGAGGTCATGGTCTAGGGCAAACAGGTTCGCATCGAATCCCACGAGAAAAGAAACACAAGGTAGATGCCCTTTGGCAGCAGCCAGATGAAGTGCCGTCTGCCCAAAATGGTAATTTGTCTTTTCAATGTCGCCTCTATAAAGAAAAAACAACAATAAAAACAAGAGATTAAACATTTTTCAGTTATATAAGCAATATTACAAATGTGTTAAGATTATTAAATTAACTTTGGGAATCAACTCATTTTACAACTACCTACAAACAAAACTAAAAACTTTTAGTAATTAAACACCTATGAGACCTTGTTTTTCTATTTTGGGAATGAGGGTCGGGCCATCATTGCTTTTTTAATTTTTTTAAAATTTTTATTTTTATATTTTAATTTGTATGTATGTCGAGTTCGAACCCGGGACCATTAGCCGTGTCAATGCTTCAGCCATTGCGACCACCGACGCCTCTGATTATAAATCAATTTAATTAAATTTATATTTGATTTTAAAATATATCATTTTTATATATTTAAATTCATTTCTTGTTTATTCAAGGGTTTGTAGTAAATAAGGTTGAAACAAAAATGTGACCTTTTGTTTGTCAGAATAATTAATCAGCACCTTTTTTCTTGTAACAATGCGGCAACTCGTGGGGTACGAGAATCCATTTTATTTCGAGCTGCGTATCGTTAGTTTAAAAATTCCGGGATAATTATATGAGCCTTGAAAATCAAATTTGATCAGGTCGTTGTCTTTTGGAAATATTTTCAGCGCAGCCTACTAATCCTCGAAAAAGAACCGGATAAGTTACTGGATAATTAGAGGTTTTCCGTACTATTATAAACTTGCGGTAGAAGTATGCACGTTTCGGGACAAACTTAATTTAGCTTCAAGGGTTACTACCATGCGTGCCATGACAAGATGCGTCATGGTGTGTTTTGTGGGATTTCGAAAGAGTGATTCACTTTCAATTGGTTCCTGATGAAGTTAAAACCTAAGCCATTCTCATAAAAAATACCCACTAATGGAAAACCGAAAATATACTATCAGATGACTCAATTTATGAATTTAGATACGAACTTAGTCCAAAATTAAACAAATAGTACCGATCTCGATTTTACTTGGTTCCTTTATGCTAGCAAAAGACTAAAGTCATCAACTACGGACTGTTTGCATCTATAGCATAAGGAACGGGGCGTCGGTGGCCGTAATGGTTTAGGCCTTGACATGACTGTAAGGTAAATCCAGCGGCCCTGCATTCGAACCCGACATACAAATGGGCTCTATTTTCAAAAACACCAGCACCCTGAGGGTTTACATGGCGAAAAAAAAAATATATATATATATATACATATATATGTATATATNAAATTGGGGGTTATCGGGAAAAAAGGGCCAGAGGCGACGGTGGGAATCGAACCCACGACCGCGGCGTGAGAGTCTCTCATGCTAACCACTCGGCTACCGCGAGACCTAATTTTAAACTCTTTCTCCAAGAAATTGGAAGAAATACGGTTGTCCTTAGGGGTTTAACGAAGCGGGCAGGAATTTTTCAAGATTCAATTCCAATTTTTTAAAATTAATTTTCATTTTCCTGTTGCATAACATTCAGGGCGGGACTTATGATTGTGCGAATACAATACTGATCCACAGAGAAAACTGTTATTCCCTGGTAGTAAATATAGCATGTAGTGAAATAATTTTTGTTTACCTACTAGTACTCGATGGAATCTTATAAAAGTTACTTCTTCTTAATCACGGACTTTACAAGGTTAGATTTGATTAAGGTAAATAACAGCCTTTGACAACTGCTGACATGAGTTTTGCGAGTGTCTGAATGCCCGATGTAGTCCCCTTTACGACTTAAATACGTTAAATTTTTATTCCAGACTGAATATAAAAAAATAATTAATACTAGAAAAAACAATTGGATAAAATGATAAGTAAAAGAAAAATGTTGAGGGCGAAAGCCGAATCGGAGATCTAAGAGAAGGTTGAGGGAATGTATTGTGGGGATGAGTCGTTTGAGAAGGATCTTCTCAAATAATTTTTAGAAGAGTGAAATTAAACTTTTTGGACATTATGACGAAGCTTTACGGATGGGTTTTCTTGGTTTTTGGAAAAGGGTGATATTGGAGTTTTTCCAGAGCAAAGGAAGTGATTGGTGCGCAACTGTATTGTATAGATGTTTGAGCAGGATGGTGGGTTTTTTAGAATTCATGGAGGATTAGGGACGTGGTAAGGTCGAAGCCAGGTCGGCATTTAATGCACGATAAATTCTGGTGAAAAGACATTGGTAGGTGGACGATGTGAGGAGGTCGTGGATTTAAATTTTGTTAGAAGTATTATTGGGGTGGGAGTGGAGATGTATGTCTGAGAGAATTGGGCAAAAGCGTTGATTTGTCAAGATCGGATGAAGGAATGTGGTACTTTAGGATTTTTCGTGTGGCTAACCACAAAGATCTATCGGATGTTGTATATTTCACACTAGAATGATGGATTTAAATATAATCTAACAGTATATATGTAGGTTTTTCTGAACAACGCTCCAATGTTGCAACAGCTTATCATGTTTGCTTTTGTGATACTATTGGGTTGTCCGGAAAATAATGCAGGATTTTGGTATTAAACAAAAAAAAAGAAACTAGTTACTTTAAAGCAATGTTCTTTAATCAAAATAATTTCCCATACTCTCAATACATTTCTCCCAACGTGTTGGTAACTTATTAATTCCGTCTGAGTAGAATTCAGAATTTTTAGAATTGATAAAGTCAATAAATGCATTTTCCAGTTCCGTTTGATTTTTGAATATTATGTGTTGTAAGTAGTGGTCCAGGTGTCTAAAAAAATGGTAGTCAGTAGGCGAGAGGTCCGGAGAGTAGGGTGGGTGAGGCAAAGTTTCATAGCCAAGCTCCAATAATTTTTGTGACGTTACACGTGACACATGTGGTCGAGCGTTGTCATGCAACAAAATGGGCCCTTTCCGATTGACCAAAGAGGGCTTCATTACTGCCAATTTCTGATGCATGGTATTAATTTGGTTACAGTATGATTCAGCATTGATGGTTTCGCCAGGATTTAAGAAGCTGTAGTGTATTAAACCAAATGAAGCCCACCATACCGTAACCATTACCTTTTTTTGATGAGTTGGGGGCTTTGGAAAATGTATTGGAGCTTCTCCTTTGTCGAGCCACTGTCCAGAACGTCTAGTGTTATCGTAGAGAATCCACTTTTCGTCACATGTAACAATTCTGGCCAGAAATGGGTCATTTTTGTTTCGACAAAGAAGTGATGCACAAACATCAAAGCGCTGATTTTTTTGGCGATCGTTTAATGAGTGTGGAACCCAATTTTCGAGTTTTTTCACTTTTCCAATCGCCTTGAGGTGGTCAGCGACGGTCGTTTTACTGACTTTGAGTTGCTCTGCAAGTTCTCGAACAGTTGTTTTGGGGTTTTCTTCCACCACTGATCGCAGAACATCATCATTAAGAGAGGAAGGCCTTCCACGACCTTCTTCATCTTCAAGGCTGAAATCTCCCTCCCGAAATTTTTTAAACCACCTTTGCACAGTGCACTCATTAACACAACCCTCGCCCCAGACTTGGTTAATGTTTCTAGCCGTTTGGGCTCCGCTTCGGCCGAGTTTAAACTCGTAAAAGAAAATCGTACGAAATTCTCGCTTTGACATTATAAGGATGACTGAATTATTTCCAAGTAGCGGAATGCTACAGAGGTAAACAAACAATATCATTTGGAAGAGGATTAATAAGTGTTGACATTCATACAAATGAGTAATCCTGTAAACGTAAACAGAATATTTTATATAGATTTTTTTTAATGAAAACTTAAAATCCTGCATTATTTTCCGGACAACCCAATATATATGATATAAAACAAAAATAGCTGTATCCTTTTATTCCTGTTTAAATGGAAAACCTTGGGAGCATTGAACAAACCTGAACGTGAAAAGAACACTGTTCGGTCAATCAGAGATCTCGGATTAATTTGAAATTAGTAAAATTAAGAAAATGGAAAATTATCATAGTATATAATATATAATAATGATGATATAATAACAGTTAAACAACCAAATCTAGTTGTTTTCATAATTTTAGATAGCACGATTGAGGTAATGTGGAATATGATGGTGGTACCTTAGAAATGAAGTTTCAAGGCAATTGATCAAGTTAGCTTTTTTTTAAAATGTATAGTACACCGAAGAAATGATGTTTGTATATCGACCTGCAGATAATCAATGTAGAGACAAATCTTCAAAGATTTGAACTCTACATTGTATAGTACATCTTGTAAAAAAGGGAACTTTCTTATATATTACGTAAAATAAATTATTTGGCAGTAGAACGAATGCAAAGAAATACACATTTGTAATGGTTTCAACAAAGAAGCGGATGTCTTGGGGAAACACTATCTTTTTCAATGGTAGCAAATCAATAAGGCGAAATGACCATTTTATACAGCCTTTACGTGACCGTTCTTCGCGAATTCTTCCTCATCACGCTTTCGTCTGGAATCGGCCAGGAACCAACTGGGAAAAGAATGTAGGCGAATCTTGGACCATGTGAAAAATCACGAAAACCAACTTTCATGCAGCGTATTCCGTCTGCCCAAGTGATGTATCAAACAATGGAATGTGTCCCTTTTAACTGTAAGGAAAAACATCGTAACGTGTGCCACACGTTCAAGAGAGTTTCATCTTTGCTCGTATCACTTAGTAGTACCGTACAAACGAGAAATTGATTTTTATATTTACGGCTTTGGTAGGTTCTTTATAAAATTAAAAAGGGACGAGCCATGAAGTTAACGGTATAAATGTCTTTGAAACAAAGTTTTAAAAGCTACGAGGGCTGAGAAAGGGGGGTGAGAGGGGTGACAGGGGCGAGAGGGAGAGGGAGAGAGAGAGAGGGAGAGAGAGGGGAGAGAGAGAGAGAGAGAGAGAGAGAGAGAGAGAGAGAGAGAGAGAGANGAGAGGGAGAGGGAGAGAGAGAGAGAGTGAGAGTGAGAGAGAGAGAGATATTTTATTTGTAGCAATCATGAATTGGTATTACAAGTACCAAAAATACATATGGATATGAAATTATAACGGTTACAAAATTATATCACAGTGATAAATAAATAAATGTATGT